GCGCGGCGGCCAGCACGCATGCTGGGGCGAAGTCGCGGCCACCGTGCCGAAGGGTCGAGTGGGGGTCCGCCGCTGCTGGCGCCTTCTCCGCGGGCTGCCCCATCTCCTGTCAGCGCGCGGGCGTGGCCCCCGTCCCGATGTCTCGAGTGGAAGCCCGCCGCTGCTGGGGCTCTCCTCGGCGGGCTGCTCTCTGCTGGTCAACTTCGTCGGCCCCGCCAGTGCTCGCATGGCTCGACGAGCCCCCCGAGCCCTCGCCCCCGCGCTCGGAGGCTGCCGCCGCCGCCTGGGCCGCGACGTGGTGCCGGCACCTCTGGCAGACTATGTCCTGCTCTGCCGGGTCGGGAATCTCGTCGAGATAGACCGAGTCCGACTGCGGCCTGCCGGAAGCCTGGCAGCTGCCTCCAACTTTACGGCGCCTGGCCAGCTTGCGCTCCTTCGCGCACAAGATGGGGTACTTGCCAGCCTCCTCGAGGCCCGCGTCCTCGGGCGGCGGCTGCTGCAACCCGCCGCCGAACTGGATGCCCCCCCGGTTGTTAGTCGTCGCGTTTGGGCTCTGTCTCCATCTCCTCCGTCCTCTGGCGTCGCCATCGCAGGCGCTGGCGACGGATTCCCCGCCCCTCGTCGCTTCCAGGCACTGCGGGCGCCCATCCGGCGCAGGGGCGGAAGCCGATTTATGGTCCTGGCCGAAACGTCCGTCGCCTCGCGCGCAATGTCTGCCTCGACGGCGGCCAGTTCGCCCAGTCCGCGATGGCCGCTGCCTCGCCCAGCTCCACGAAGGCCTTGCCCGAGCGCAGAGACACTGCGAGCTTCTGCTGCCGCCGGGGCCTGGGGGCGACGGCGCGGCACTTCCTCGCGCGGGTGTCCGCAACCTCTTGTGACCACCTGCCAAGGTAGTCGCGCTCGCTCTTGGGGCGCCCCCATCGACGCCAAGGCCAGCGGCGCCGCCGCTCGCTCCGCATGCCCCGCCCAAAAGCCTACGACCTCCGTGTGGAGGAAGGGATCCGCGGTCTCGCGCAGGCATCCTCCAGAGCACCTCCTGTCTGGCCGTCGCCGCTTCGGCGCATCCGGCGGGCTTGCGGGCCGCCTCCATGCCAGCGTCTCCGCACCGCGGTAAGAGGCAATCCCTCTCGAAGTCCGCGACCTCTTGCAACGGGCGGAAGCCGGTCTTCATCCGCCACGCGCTCCGCATGTAGCACTCGCGGGATGCCGCCAGCGGCAGCTCCAGCCTCGCGGGCGCGCCAGCGTGGCCGTCAGTCCGCCGTCCGCGAAGGCGAGGCGCCGATTGGTCATCGCGAGGCCATCGATCTCGACCAGCCTCTCCAGGGCCCCGATAAACGCATCGTCGGACACCTGCCAGCGCCGAGGAACATGTCCGTGTTCGTGACGGCCTGGCAGACCTCTGGCTGAGCGGGGACCCCAGCGTTCGGGTCGAAGGCCACCGCGCGCACTGTCCAGGCCAGGGCGCGGAGGAGCCTGATTTGGCACCAGCGGCCCACAAGGCTCGGCACCAGTTGCGTGCACGTAGTCGGTGAAGTGCCCTACCGTCTTCGGCCACGGGACGCTGTGCGCGCGCAGGAGCCATCGGCGCAGCGTCTCACCCGCGCGCAGGTACAACCCCTCACTGTGTTGAGGCGCGCGCTGCCCGTGATGCCATCCAACGTTCGCTCTGGGCCCATGCAGGACCGCGCCACCTCCAGCGAGGGCGCGCGCCTCCATCTCGTCGAGCAGCCGGAGCAGGCGAGGCCTTCAGCGAGACCGCTCTCGAGCCTCCAACGAACCGAGACTCCCTTCGGCAGCGGCGCGACACCTCCGCAGCGTTGCGGGTCTGTGTTACCGCGCGGGTCCTGGCAATGGCGGTTCCACGCCGTTCCCGATCACACACGGCCAAGACGCACGACCAAGAAAGTGGTTACGGCATCTTCCAGCATGGCTAGCTCGGGGCGGCCGTTGAACGCATGCAGCCGCGTCTGCAGCGGTTCCTTGTCCACCGCGTGGTCCACGAACTCCTGTAGCGGGATCCGTGCCTCTCCTCACTGGGATCAACGGCCACTGCCACCTGCAAGAACACGAGCGTATGCTCGAACTCGAACTCGCCCGCCTGCAGCGCCAGAAGTGAGCCGACGAGCCCAAGCCCATGCAGGGCCTGGCTGACCCGCCGCCGCGGGGCGTCGAAGGCGCACGGCCCGAGGCCACCATTGCGTCCAGCCGTTGCTCATAATCGGCCGAACGCCCGAAGACAAATTGCCACAAACGTTTGTCAGAGAAGAGGGTACGTCCACGTGTAAGCACACGGGGCGAATGCCCGGCTACGGCGACAACGGGGCGCCCAGGCCGGTGAAGCCCCCAATCTCAGGACTGACGCTTTCCATCGAGACGCCGCCGCACATGTGCCACCTTGCTGGAGGCCCACCTACTGCGACAACGGTTCCCGCTAGACACGCGCTCACAATTTGTTCCGAGACCCCCTGGCCGAAGAGGGTTCAAGACTCAGGAACGGCGTTCTCGCCTGGAACGTCCTCGCAATTGAGCCGAATTCTCGGAGGCCGCACTAGGCCCCCGCTGGACGATTGCTCACATTGTCTTCATGCTGTGAGCACCCAGCTAGGACGATAATGGCCCTCGCCCCCGAACACAGGAGGGATGCTATATACGGAGACGTTCTCGCAGTTTGCTCAAGCTGGTGAGTTGCCTGCGGGCGCGCTAGCTCGCATGACGACGACGTCGGCGCAGCGCGCACAAAACGCATTGTTGAGTGTTTGCCCAGGAGCTTGTATGAGAAGACTTCACGCCCTAGAGCATGGATAGGGGGTTTATTCGGGGACTTCCTGGGCGGGTGCAAGGGGGAGGGAGAAACAACTGAAGGTCACATCAACCCGTTGGAGCAGGTCACATGTTCGCAGTCTGGACGTCGTCGTCGTCGGCGGCGTCACAGGAGTCGCGGGCGTCGTCACCATCGTCGTCGTTGAGGGCGTCGTCGTTGTTGTCGGCGTCGGTGTTGCTGCCGTCATCGTCGAAGGCGTCGTCGGCGCTGAGGGCGTCGTGGGGGTCAAGTGCGGCGGCGGCGTCGACGTCGTGGGCACGGGACAGAGGTGGTGGGGGCAGGGGAGGGGGCGGGGAGGGGCAGGGGGCAGGGGCACGCAGGGGCGCCAGGGCAGTGACGCGTGGTGGGTCTAATCTGGCCCTCCCCCCTCCTCCCACTCCTCGTTCCCCCCTGTTTTCCCTCCACCTCCCCCGTTCTCCTCTCCTCTCCCTCCCCCTCCCCAGCCTCCTTCCCCCTCCCCTCCCTTCCTTCCCCTCCTCCTCCTCCTCCTCCTCCTCCTCCTCCTCCTCCTCCTCCTCCTCCTCCTCCTCTCCTCTTCCCCCTCCTCCCCCTCCTCCTCCTCTCCTCCTCGCTCCCCCTTCACCTCCGCCTCTCTCCCTCTTCCCCCCCTCCCTCCTCGTCTCCCTCCTCCCTCCTCTGCCCGTCCCCACCTGCCCTCCCCTCGTCGCCCTCCGACTGCTCCGCCCTGAGATCTGACGTTGCAACCAAGCTGCAACACCGCGGCAAGTCACGATCGGAGCGCTACACCCCATCTTTCGACGCACGGTGGCGGGATAGGCCGACGGCCACTGGATCCGCCGCCCCCTGCTTGCAGGGGTGCACGGCGTGCTGGATGTTTCAGGTTTTGGTTTTGGTTCTTTTTCCAAAAGAACTCCCCAGTGGGCTCCGGCAGAACCCGCCGGCCACCCGGAAAATCCCCAAACGTGCTCAACGACCGCAAAAAATCCTCCAAAAAACGGCCGTTTCGCTCGGGACATCCTCAAAAAATCGCGAAGATGGCCCAAGATGGCCTCCAAGTCCGCCCGAGATGGTCCAAGACGGCCTCCAAAACGGCCCAAGAGAGTCCAAGACGGCCCAAGACGGCCCAAGAGGCCCCCCAGAGGCCTCCCAGACGGCCCAAGAGGCCTCCAAGAGGTCCTCCAGGAGAGTCCGAAGAGGCCAAAATCATTGATTTTCCTTTGGTTTTTTAAGGATTTTGGCATTTGCGCCTTTTCGGCTCTCCGATGGCTCAAGACGGCCCAAGAAGCCCCCAAGATCGCCCAAGAGGCCCCCAAGAGAGCCCCTGATGGCCCAAGTGGCCTCCAAGATGGCCCCTAGAGGGCCCCAAGACGGCCCAAGAGGCCTCCAACACGCCCAAGATGGCCTCCAAGACGCCCAAGATGGCCTCCAAGACGGCCCTGGAGCGCCCCAAGAGGGTCCCCCGTTGGCCCAGAAAGGCCCCCAAAACGGCTCCCGACGGCGTCAGACGTGCCAGGAACCCACCAAGATGGCCGAAGTTGGCTCGAAGCTGGCCCAAAAGGGCCCAAGAGGCCCCCAAGAGGGCCTCCAGGAAGGCCAAAAGATGCCAAAATCACTGATTTTCCCAAGGTTTTTGATGGATTTGGGCATTTCCCTTTTTTCGGCCTTCCGACGGCCCGAGACGGCCCAAGAGCCCCCAAAGATCGCCGAAAGATCGCCCAAGAGGCCTCCAAGACGGCGACGATGACCATCAAGACGCCCACGTGTTCCCCGAAGGCTTTCCAAACCGATTCGGGGAACACATGGTCCGATGGCTTGGCAGGTCTGGCCTCAACGTTCGGCCACATAGGCGCTTCCACAAAGGCAGGGGGCGGCGGTGATTCGCCGTAGGCGTCTTCGATAAATGCTGAGTGAGAGGAGGGGAGGAAAAAAGAGAGGAGGGACGAGGGCGAAGAAGGATCACATCAGTCGGAGCGCCCCGGATCGGCGGCACTGGCCGAAGGCCACTACAATCACGATCGGAGCGCTACACCCCATCTTTCGACTTCATGTTTCGGGCCGGATCGATCTGTGAGGGCCCGGGGGCCCGAAACCGGGCGACGACGCCCGGCCCGAGAAGACTCGAGCCACCAGGATGTGAAGGCCCTCGTCCTCCTTCTCCCCCCAACCGCTGCCACCCCAACCGCTGCCACCCCCCCTCCATCCCCCAGAGCTGGCGCACGTACGGGTCGAACTCGCGGGACTCGCGGTACGCGTCACAGGCCCAGGCCGCGGCGCGGAAGACGGCGCAGGCCGCGGAGCAGAGGCAGAGGCATGCGTGGAGCCACACCCACCTGGCGACATCGCGGCCCCGCGACGACGATGACGACAACGAAGACGCCGCCGACGACGACGACGCCGACGACGACGACGCCGACGCCGACGCCGACGACGACGGACGACTTCGACGACGACGGACGACTTCGACGACGACAACGACGACGGCGACGACGACGACGGACGACGGAAGAATACGAGGACGAGGACGAGAACGAGGACTACGACGCCGCTTGCGACTACGTCGCCATTGTCCGCGTCGTCGTCCGCGTCCTCTTTCTCTCCTCCCCCTCCTCCTCCTCCTCCTCCTCCTCCTCATTTCTTCTCGTCCTCCCCGTCCGCTGTGTCCTTGCCCTCGAAGTCATCCTCGTCGTCCGCGTCGACATGGTTTAGTTCTGGTCCTCGCCCTCGCCCTTCTCATCCTACCCCTCCTGCGGCTTTTCCTCCTCCCTCCACCTAGGAGCAGAAGAAAGGAGGAGGTTGACGAGGGTCGAAGAGGGAGGGATAGGAGAGGGGGGAGAGTGGAGGAAGGATGGGACGCACAAAGACATACTATTACTAGATGTCCTCCTTGGACGCGTGTCTGACCCGAAAATGTACTACAAATATATTGCTGTGCTTTGTTTACCCATCGGTATGGCCAGAAAGCACGCGTCCTGGATACTATACTATACGATTGTTTGGTGCGCGCCTCGCCCGGGGGGGGGGGGGGGGGGGGGGGCCGACGCACACACAGCACTAGCATGTCGGAGTGACGCCGGAAGGAGGCAGTGGAACGGGAAGAAACCTGGAGAACTCCTCCGAGCGCCTGCCCTGTGGACACGCAGGCGGAGAGCGGGCGGGGGATGGCGCGGGGAAGGAAACTGGCCCACCTGTGCACAGATGCCCGCCTCTGCAGACGGAGCCCCACAGCCCAAACTGCGTCGCCGACAACGGCAGCCACCATGCCCCTCCCCCGTGTTCCTCCTCTCGTCTCTCGCCTTGGCGGATGCACCCGAACCCTACGCGTCTCATCCCTCGCCCTTCTTCAATCGGCTGCACGCAAGAGTGACCCTAGGCAAGAGTACTCTTTTGGCGCGTGGCTTCATGGAAGGCGCGGGGGGGGGGCCAAACCCGAGCCGCGCGGGCCACTGCTGTCGCAGCATTGCTTCCAGTGTTCGGGGGGCCCTTGCGTGTGGGCCCGCGCCAGAGGTCTCTCCGGCGAAGGGCCACTCTTACGTGCAGTTGGTTCTTCAACCTGGCCACGACGACGACGACGACGACGACGACGACGTCTTTCCGGCGAAGGGTCCTCCTCTCGCTCCAGCCAGGCCCGAGGTTGCCCTGCAGGCGCGCCGCTCTGCGGCCGCCCGCCGAGCTCGGGGCCAAGCACGGCGACGCCACGGAGGGGTCCAAGGAGGCCCGGCCACCGCTCGAGGAGGCCAACATCTGCAGTCGGGCTGCTGCCAACAGGAGTGCTCGATGAAGAACGAAGCCCCTTCTTGGCCCCAAGGGTGCATGCGTGGAAGAGGCGCGCTAGATGAACAGCCATGGAAGGACATAGGGAGCCTGGAGCACCTTCCGATCCCAAACTTTTCCTTGCTTCAGCATCTTACTTGTGCCTGCACGGCATGGCCGCCAACCTTACCGAATCCTTCCGGCGTGCTGGCCGACATGCGCCTCTCCGTGGGGAGACTGTGGGCGGGCGCTTCCAGCCAGCACCTGGGGAAGGAACGGAGAACGGCGTTGATATTTCTAGCCTTCTCAGGCAGCCCGCAAGTCTAGGCGAGGCACACGGAGTACGAGTCTCGTGCGGCCATCGGAGGTTCTGCCGCGGCTACTACGTGGCCCAAGCGGGGAGTAGCGGTTTGTTGGCGAGTCTGCCACCAAGTGTTCTAGGCGTGATCTGGCATTGCCCGTCGTGCCCGTGCAAAAGTATGATCCCCCGACGCTCTCAGGATATCGTTGAAGCCATTGGCTCGAAATCTTTTTCGCTTTGCGGCATGTTCAGTCCTCCCTTGTCTCCATCGCTGAGCCCCCCGCAGGCATTGGTGCAGTCTCGGGGGTGGTGGGACGCCTCATTGCTGAGGACGGCTCAGGGAGAGACCCGGCTAAGGACACGAGATCTCAGAGTCGGATCGATCAGTCGGATAGGCAATCGAAATGACTTGGACCAAGGGAGATCGGCAGCCAAGTCAGGAACAACTAAATCGGTGGACATCGACATACTAGTGAGGCCTTCATTAAGAAATCATGGCATCCAAATGGGACTCCGAAGTCGACTCGAACCGAACGTCGGAATCGGTCGAAGTCGGATCGAGACGAGTCGGTGGCGTCGCAAGGAGCCCTGCAGGCGTCTTCGCCGGAGACGTTGTGCCTAGGCATGGGTTGAGGTCTGCTGTAGGGGGGCTATTTCTATTGTACTGCGTCGCCGCAGCGCAGCTGTAGCTGGTCAAAGGCCGACAGGCAGTCGTGCCGAACCGTTCACGCACGTCGCCTGCTTGTAACAATACGTTGGTGATGTAACTGTCCATTCTTGCTCGGGCTATGCTGTTCGGGGTTGGCGTACCGTTGGGAACGTTTGCTTAGCGTGTCGCCGCGGCGGCCCCGGCGACACGTTATGCCCTGCAAGGGGATAGGATCTCGCTCCGCTCCGCGGGGCGGAATGCTAGGACAGGCTCGGGACGTTGAAGCCAGGGGACTTGGAAAAGGATAGCGTGTGGCGCCGAAGCGTGGTGGACCAGAACCGACGGAACGACACGCTATTCAAACGTTCCCGACCGTAAGCAGGTTGGGCATGGGCTCCCAGTCGGCACTCGCCCGACTTTAACCAGTACTTGAGCCACGCCCAGGGCCTGAGGCTTGCGTCAAGACCTGGGCTGACCATGCCAAGCTCGTTAAAGTCGAGAACCACAAGTGGATGCGGACAAACTCCGCACGGCCTCTCACAATAGTTCCGTCTTGCCAGTCAGGAGGCCGACCGGACTGCTGGATGGGGAGCTGCACAGAGCCAAAACGACCCACAGTTGCCCAGAATGCGATTGCAGGAGCCACATTCGCTGAGCAGGCTCGGATCCGTCTCGCAGCCACCTCTGTCTCGTCCACCAGGGATGATAGCAGGGGGCAATGAGAGCGGGCCAGGCCGCCCGAGGGTGTTCGGAAGGCGGGCCTCTCCCGCCTAGAGAAGGCCGTCAACACTTCGCCTGATCGTGCTTGCCTTCAATTTGGCTGCGACTCAATTCAATTGCCGGTCGCGTCGTCAGAAGCCCTCTCGGACTGGAGCCATGCAGTTGCTTTCGACCCCCTGCCACCCGATCGATTCTTGTGCTGCCCCCTCCTCGTCCTCACTTGGCGCCGTTCGGATGGGCAATCAGGTGGCGCATTGCTCCTCTGCGTGCCAGTGCTTTGAGCATGCTGATGGGTAGACGTGCGCCAGGTGTGGGACCACTGAGTTGGACCAGGCCATCCAACGCCTCGCCCAGGAGTGCACACCCTCGATCTCCCCCAAAGGCAAAGATTATCTGCGCGGGCTCAGCCTGGGCCCCCTCCCAGGCGCATCCGCCCGCGAGGAAGCCTTCCACCAGAAGGCGCACGGCAGGCAGGGTGTGACGGCGCCTCTTCTCTCCCCCTTTCCCTTTCAAACCCCATCCACTGTGCACTCGTTGGAACGCTCGGTGCGTGCATTCGCCACCTCCTTCTGCTCCGAATCTTCTTCCAGCTACAGGCCCCTCCTTCGTGGCTCGTCCTCCTTCGCTCCGTCCTGCTGCTGATGGTGTCCATGCCCCTGGCTCGCAAGTTGCAAAATGATCAGCGATGTTAAAACCTTAGAAGCAATCATGTCTGGTATATCACGCAAAAACAGATCGCGGAGATGAAGGCCCCGTGTGGGCACGAATGCATTCTCGAAAAACCCTCTGCGAACACCAATTTTTCGAGTAAGTGCCCTCAAGAGAAACATGACTATACTCCGACGCCTCGTGCATCGCTGTGTTTCTTCGAGGTCCCCACCGACAGGCGTCATCGCGCAACGTATGTCCCTCTGCTGGGCAAGCTGCGCTCCGGCCAGCTTTCCCAGGCGAGCTCCACTAGCCCGAGGTCCTGGACCTAACCTTTGCTGCTCCAGCCGATCTCCCCGACTACTGTTTGCGCGAATCGTCGAAGTACAGCGTCCCTGTCCTCCTTCCCCTTTCCTCCATTACTGCTGCTCCTGCTCACGGTCCTCCTCGTCATCATCCTTCTCAACCTCCTCCTCCTCCTCCTCCTCCTCCCTCCGTCCTCCCTCCGCCGTGCTCTTCCTCCGCCGTCCTCTTCCTCCACCTCCAATTCCATCGCACCCTGCACATGTTGCCCTTTGCTGCTCCACCTCCTCGCCCTCGCAATCCTGATCCCACTCCTCTGCATTATCTCTCCCCCTCCTCCGTTATCCCCCTCCTTCTACTCCTCCAACGGCAGCGGAGGAAGCGGACCAGGAGGAGGAGGAGGAGGAGAATCAGCAGGAGACGCAAGAGGATGGGCAGGCAGGAGGAGGACGATGCGGGAGGAGGAGGAGGAGGAGGAGGAGGAGGATAACTAAGGAGAACAGAGGAGGAGGAGGAGGAGGAGGAGGTGGAGGAGGAGGAGGAGGTGGAGGAGGAGGAGGAGGAGGACAGGGAGAGAGGCGGATTGGGACAGGGACGGGACAGGAGGAGGAGGAGGAGGAGGAGGACAGGGACGGACGCGAAGGAGGAGGAGTGCCCTCGCTGGGGGCGGGGGAGGGCGGGTCCCGCCAGGGGCAGCTCAGCGGCTCGCGCAGCAGCTTCGCCCGCACGGGCTCGCCGTGGGCGGCCTGACGCGCGCGACCTTCGGGCGGCGGCACCGCCTCGCTCCAGCCATGCTCTCCCCAGCCTCCTCCATCCTTATCCTGCATCCCTCCTCCCTCATCCATACTCCCTTCGGCCCCCCCCTCCTGTTCCTCCCTCCCCCGCCTCCCTCCCCTGTCCAGTCCTCCTCATCATCAAGGGCGTTCCACCTCTCTCTCTCCTCCAGCTCCCCCTCGCCCCTCTCAACGTGAGCCTTCTCTCCCCCCCCCTCTCGCAAGGGCGACCTAGAAGCTGAGATCCGCTGGCCGCGACCTCGGAGTTCACGCTCGCTTCCTGCAGGTCAAGGAGTTCCCCACACAGAGCGGCTCCCCAACAAAAGATGGTTCCTGTCCTCTGATGCGTGACCACAAGAGCTGAACGTCAACTCCAAGACGTGTTCAGTTCATAACCGTGCGCCTATTATCACACAGAAGCGCACATCGACTGTACCCAAATCTGCACACACGCAAACATATATTTATATATACGTGTGTGCATGTATAGATGTGCGTATGCAACACATACATACACATACATGCATACATGAATCCATCAATTCGTACACATATGCATGTAGACACACATCTACACATACATACACGAGCACGTGCATGCACACGTACATGAATACACACATGCATACCTACATACAAATGTACATACACACATACATGGCGTAAACACACACATGCACATACACACATACATGCATGCATACATACATACACCTACGAACATCCATGCACACATACACACGTACATACTAACTGACTTGCATGCTCTTTCATTCACTTACTTACATATGCTTATATATGTGTATGCATGAATCTGGGCACATCAAATATGCAAACCAATTGTATATATGATCCCGGGTCGATGGTTGACAGGCCCTCTGGGTGCCTATTTGGCCACTTCAGAATGATCTCGGGGGCCTGTTCGGCCTTCTGAGGCGCATTGGAAACCGAAGAGCCGAACATGCGAAAATTGCATCGACATTCAAAGCCAACCCATACTGTTTGATTCCGGGGGGGGGCATCTTCTGAGTCGACTTCTGGCGCCCTTGGGGGGCCATCTGGAGAGCCACTTGGGCCATAGAGGTGCTATCTTGGGGACATGTTGGGCCATCTTGGGACCATCGTGGCCGTGCGAGGGCGCGCTCGCCGGGCCCTCTTGAGACCTTCTGGGGCCCTCCAGGGCCATATTTGGGCCATCAAGGGCCGTCTTGGGCTCTCCTGGGACGCTCCGGACTCAGGCTCCCCGGAGGGACCAAAGAGGTGTGCAAGGGCAGTTTTCGATGCATAAATGTATTCACTGGCGGAGTACAGCTATACATATAGCACCGCGCCGCTTGCACTTCATAGTTTGCATCACGTAACTCACCCCACAGATGTTGCTCCACATCGATCGCACCACACATTGCACCATATAGACTGCACCACCTAGTTTGCACCTTACAGCTTGCACCACATACATTTTCATTTCTGAAACAGCATTGGACCTACCCCCCGGACTTAACCGCCCCCCTTGTCGTACTGCAGCTCACAAATATTTTGCCCCATCGTCCGTTCTAAATCCTGACTCGTATCATCCCATTCAAACCAGAAACGGCTCCCCCCCCCGTAACCATTGCAACGAATACTATGCGCGCGCACTCGTGTATCAAAACCATCAGTTTCCAACAAAAAAACATGCAAAGCATGCGGCGAAATGCGCTCTCGCGCGTTGTCGCGTACGCATGCCGAAATCCCCTACCTTAGTTCCCGAACGCATTTCACAATCGGGTGCCCCGAACACATATAAGAAGACCTGGCCTCGTAACGAAATCTTCCAACAACCAGAGCAATCGCGCTCCCGTTATTGCGAACCTCGCGAAAACCAAGTTTTGGTGCAACATGTTCTTAACGTGCTCAACGAAAGCCTCTCGCGAAGGCGTGTCACAATCGCTCGAACGCCCTTGCGCGCGTGTGTCGCAAGAGTCCCTCGCAGACAACTGGACAAACTGCACATGCGCGCATCGTCGCGCGCACATGAGGCAACTTTTCAACAGAAACTCAGGTTCCGCACGAACATGCAATCCGAGTGTCCCGAAGCATGCAAACATACCGGAATGTGCCCCATCTAACTCCAAACGTGTCAGCGATCGCGTTCCTGCAAACTCTTGGGGTCCCCATCGGTTCCCAAGCATTTCGTTCAATTTGGGCAAACGGGCCCCTTGCGCCGCACGTCGAAATCATTCGAAAAACTTTGCGCGCGTGCTGGGGGGTGGGGGGCACGATCCGTGTCAAATAATACAATGCGGGCCACGTTCGCGCGTCGGCCGCGCGCGCATGTGGAACTCCCCCCAAAACTTTCATCACCGACGCGAGGGCACCGTCATCGTCGTCGGCGTGATCAACATCGGAGCCGTCACTGCCCCTGCCGCCGTCGTTGTCATCATCGACGCCAACACCGCCACCATCATCATTGCGTTTACCGTTGTCGACGTTGCCATGAGACCGCGCTCGCCAAAGTCGCCGATTCGCACTGAAGTGCCTGGTGGGACGTGCCCAGCGGTCTGCGCCACCGCGGCCGCGTCGGTAACGCCGCACTAACTGGCCGCTGCGCGCGCGACCATGCGCAGTCTAACGCGGCCGCGTAGATGCTCCAACCAACCCCGAGCACTCATCTCAAACGCCACCGCATGGGTTGTGCAAAACAAATTGCCGGTGGTTGGGTGGGACGACTGCGCGAAAAGCGGAGTGAACAAGCCACTGCGAACAGTAATATTGCACCATGCAGATTGCACCGCGCAGCTTGCACCGCAGACGTTGCACTACGCAGTATGCTGGATACCACTGCCTGGGACACGCGTTGGCTAAAATGGTGTTTCCAAGACCTTGGCCCGTGTGCCGCCCAGGCCGGCTTGCTCTCACCCCGTCGCCACCCCGTCGCCTCTCGCCGTCGCCCGCCGCCGCCTCGTCTCGGGTTCGTGTGCCGCTTCGGTCGGCTTGCGGTCGCCCCGTCGCCGCCCCGTCGCCGCCCCGTCCCCGCTCGTCGCCGCCCGTCGCCGCTCGTCGCCGACGCCCCGCTACCCCCCCCCCACGAATTGCACCCGCATTGTGTTAGGATCGGGATGCGTTGCGTTTCAGTCGCATTGCGATGCGTTGTTTCGCAATGCGCAGACTGCGCCAAACGGACGGCACGACATAGCCGACACCACGTATATGGAACCACGGAGAATGCACCGCATCATTGGCTTAACATACATTGCACAACACCGCTTGCAACACGAAGCTTGCACCACACGGCGTGCACTATATTCATTCTGTTTTACCAACATGTATATACGTGTATGTATATATTTGTGTATGTATATATATATATATACATACACATATAGATACATATATATATGTATATAAATATATATGTATGTATATATATATATATATAAAAGGACCCCCGTCACCCCACATTGAACCGCCCCCTTTTTTGTCGTTTTGCAATTTGCACATGGTCCTGCCTCATCGTTCATTCTAACGATGAGCCCGCACAATCCCAGGCAGGCCAATAACGGTTCCCCCCCCTATCGTCGGCGACAACATACTATGCGCGCACTGGTGTATCCAAACGTGTCAATGTCCAAAACCCCCGCGCAGGCAAAATTGACGAAATGCGTACGCGCGCGTCGTCTCGCGCGCATGCCGAAATCCTCGGCCTCAGATTCCGTCAGGATGTCACAAGCGAGTGTCGCGAAGACACATCAAAACAACATGGTTTCGCAACGAAGGTTTTCAAAATAAAACTGGCGCTGCCGTTCTTGCAGATTCTCGGGGAACCACCGGATTTGGCTTTCACATCTCGCGCGCACGTGTCGAGCTCGTTCGAACGCCCTTGCGCGTGTGCTGTCGCAAGAAAAGCGCGCGTCGTCGCGCGCGCATGCCGCAATCACTCCACATCCGTGGGCGTCTTATGTTCTTTAAACAACCAAGCACGAATGCCACTTTTATACAAAAGGCACAAAAACAAAAACAAAAAATGGACTGGCAGCATCATTGTTTGAACAAGATGCTTAAACTCTTGCGAATTCTTTAAACAACCATAAGGTTTCAACATGTTCATCAAAATCTGCCAGACCGGCCTCTCGCGCCGCATGTCGAACTTATCCGGACGCCCTTGCGCGCGTGCTGGGGGGGAACACGATCCGTGCCAAATAGTATCACGCGGGCCACTCGCGCGCGTCGGCCGCGGGCGCATGCCACCCTTCCACAACCTTCATCACAGACGCAATGGCGTCGTCATCGTTATCGGCGGGCGTGATCAACATCGGCGCCGTCATTGGCATTGTCGTCGTCATCGCCACCATCGCCCCCATCATCGCTACTCCCATCATCGTATCTACCATTGTCGGCGTCGCCATGAGACCGCGCCCGCCCAAATCGCCGACACGCACTGGAGTGCCCGCTGGGATGCGCCCAATGGTCAGCGCCACCGCGGCCGCGTCGGTCGCGCCGCAATGTCTGGCTTCTGCGCGCGCGAGCATGCGGGGGCCAGCGCTGCCGCGTAGATGCACCAGCCAATGCTAAGCACTAACACTCATCGCAATCGCCGCCGAACATATATTTTGCAAGCCGGGATGGTTGCGCGAGCAGTGGAATTGACAACTCACTGCGGGCACTGGAAAACTGCACCAGACAGACGCACTATTGTTGTTGTCTCTGCGCGAAAACAAACTTAGCGTGCCCACGCTCACGGTTCCAGCAACGAGGGCCAGGGCAACATCTCTATGCATGCTCTCGCTGCTAGCGAACACGCACGCGCCTGCGTGGTGCCAAGCCGGCATCACTGTGGATGCTCCTTCGGCAGCGTGCCTCCGATATGAATAATTATAACGATAGTTCACACAATGCGCTCGCCGCCGCGAATCGTCAATACCTTCCAATGAGAAACCACCGCACGAATTACTCGAAGCGGAGATCCCCATATGTGCAACTCATAGTGATGGCAAACTTCGGTAGAAGACATTGTCATTTTCAACATCCGAGTGTCAGCGAATCCGCGTGGAAAACGAAGCCGAGAGAGACGCCAACAACTAAGACGAGTTTAAGCAATTGCTTCCTCCTTCCGTCCTCCTCCTCCTCCTCCTCCTCCTCCTCCTTGTCCTCCTCCTCAATCTCCTCCTTTCCCTATGGAAACCTGTCAGGAAAATCCACCCGCGAAGACGAGAACGGGCCCGCGCAATGCCCCCCTACGCCCCCCCATAGGGGTCCTGGAACCACCACCTCGCCTGAGACATCCTCGGAAGCTGCTCCGAAAGAAAAGGATATTGGATACGGCAGGTTCGTGTCGTGCCGACCCCAGCGTTGGTTTTTGACACCGCAGGGATCGTTCAACCTTGAACGATCGGCCGCTGCCGCAACGTCCGATCGTTCAACATCGATCGATTATGGGTCGCCAGCGGCGTTCAACCTTGAACGCCCGCGCTGGGGTCGCCGCTGGTCGACACGACGCAAACCTACCGCATCCAAACAGGCAAACCGCCTGAGACACACCCGCGACCTGGGCCCGAACGGGCCCGTGCAATACCCCTCGGCGTCCCCCCACTCGGAGTTCTGAAACCAGCACCTCGCCTGAGACGTCCTCACAACGTGTGTGTGAGTCTAAGCGCGGAGCACCAGGATCGGGTCGGGCGAAAGGGGGGGATAGCAAAGGGGGGGTTTGAGAATCAGCTCACGTAGCTGATTTTCCCGGCGCCTCCCGGCGCCAGGAGGCGGCTATGTATCGAGGAATGGGCCCGGCGGCGAGGCCGAAACCAGCTGCATGCAGCAAATTTCGTAACCCCCCCTTTCCCAATCCCCCCCTTTCGCCCGGCCCGACATTCGGAGTTCTGAAACCAGCGCCTCGCCTGAGACGTCCTCACAACGTGTGTGTGAGTCTAAGCGCGGAGCACCAGACCTGTGAGTGAATCTGCATATGAGTGGCCCTGGGCAAGAAAAGCTTGAGCACCAGGAATCTAAGAGCAAATGCATCTGAGTATGGGTGAGTCTGAATATGAGTGACTCTACATGAGAGTTAGTCGGAGTCCTGAAACCAGCGCCTCGCCTGAGACGTCCTCGGGAACTGCTCCGAAAAAGAAGGATGTTGGGCACCCACCACAGGCAAACCGCCTGAGACATCCCCCCAATCTGGGCGCGAAATGGCCCGTGCAGTGCCCCCTGGCGTCCCCCCTTGAGAGTGCTGAAACCAGCGCCTCGCCTGAGACATCCTCGGAAACTGCTCCGAAAGCGAAGGATGTTGGGCACCCAAACAGGCAAACCGCCTGAGACATCCCCGCGACCTGGGCGCGAACGGGCCGGTGCAATGCCCCCTGGCGTCCCCCCGTGGAAGTGCTGAAACCAGCGCCTCGCCTGAGACGTCCTCGGCAACTGCTCTGAAAGAGAAGGATGTTTGGGCACCCAAACAAGCAAACCGCCTGAGACATCCCCCCAATCTGGGCGCGAACGGGCCCGTGCAAAATCACCCGGCGTCGCCCCTGGGGAGTGCTGTAGCCAACGCATCAACGCCTCGCCTGAGACATCCTCACAACGTGTGTGTGTGTGTGTGTGTGTGTGTGTGTGTGAGTCTGAGCGCGGAAGTACCAGGAGTGTGAATGGGTTTGCAGATGCGTGATCCCGAGCATGAGAAATCTGAGTATCAGGAATCTAAGAGCGAATTCATCTGAGTATGAGCGAGTCTGAATACGAGTGAATCTACATGTGAGTGTGTCAGAGAATGATGACCTGAGGGTGGGAGGGACCTGAGGGTGGGAGGTGTGTGTTCTCTCGTTCTCCGCGTGGCCAACGTAATAACAAGAACCCCATCCTTAGGATATGGGAAACAACACTGCACAAACTACTTTCATGGTCTGCGCTGGCTGGCACTCCCTCAAGGCTCCTTCACTCTGCTGTCCGTACGGGTGGGTCGTTGGGATGATTGCGCGAGCAGTGGAGTCGTCAACTTCAAGTTTTGCAGTGAAAGCTGCACCACCAGTATTACACCACGTCGCGTGCGTCACATAGATTACGACACGTAGCTTGCACCGCGTAGCCCACACCATATATATATACACATACATATAGCACCACGTCGATTGCACAATATAAGATGCACCACAACGTTCCACATGGAGTGCGCCACATAGCTACCACCACATAGTTATAATACATAACTTGCTAACACACACCAATCGGGGTACACGCTAGCAAACACTTCAGGAATGAGCCAACCCAGACCCGTGCATCCGTTGCACACTTTCAATGATGATGTGCGCAACGTCCTGGCGACCACTACGCTTTGAAAACGACCTGTGTTGCCCACGTGTAGTTACATGGTGGAAGCTTAGAAGGCGAACGGGCGCAACGTTCAACAGACAACGACATGCTGACCACATGTTCGAAACTGCCCGCCCCGTGCAGTTGAGCTCTCCAGCTTCCACACCCTCAAGCGCGGGGTGGTCTCAGGCGAATGACCTGGCACGCCCTACCAACATGTTGTGAGTAGTGCGACGAAGGAAAGCTGATCGAAAAAGGCGGATGGGAGGATGAGGGGGCGGAGGAGAAGGAGGAGGAGGAGGAGGGGGGAGGAGGAAAAGGAGGCGGGAAGCCGCTTCTCCGCCTGCCTGCTCCGCCTGTTGCCTCTCCTCCTCTCCCTCCTGCAGGGACGGCAGCGTTGACGGCGAAGCCCTTTCCTCGCCCTCCTCGCCCTCTTCCCATCATCCCTCCTGCCTCCTCTCCCTTCTCACCAAGACGACAACGACGAGGGTTGTCGCTGGCGACCACAGCAACGGCTGCGGCAGCAGCTACGACGAACGGCGGCGACCGCGGTGGCGCGACAGCGGGGCAGACGCTCCTTCCAGGACGGCGCCCCAGAGTCGCAGCCGTCCCCGGGCGGGCTCGCGCACAGCCGTGGCGAGGAGCGGTCGGCCTCGAGTGGGGGGGGACGGCGGGGCGGGGGCCCCGCCAAGCCGAGGCACTTTGGCATGGCGAGGCACTGGCGCGTCCAAGGCAGCCGCAGCCGCAAGCAGAGGCGCATCCCCCCTTCGGGAACACTGTCTGGAACAGACGCGCGGATACGACGGCCCTGGGCCCCTGGAGTACCGAGGTCCTTGGGAACCCGCCCAGCAGCCCCGGGGCCCCCGCGGACCGCTGGCCGCCAATGGACGAAGATCTTGAGCGACCCTGCACCAGGAGAGGCCGAAGGGGACGTCCCTGGGCGGCAGCGTGTTTTGCGGCCTGGGAAGAAAGCGCGCGCATCGGGCCCTTGGGGCCTCCGCGGGAGGGCGTCGCCCAAGGACGTGGATTTCGGATGTCCAGGCCTGCCACTGGAGCCGCGCCAACCGCCCAACCGGCCTCAGAGGTGCTGGTGGGTTGTTTGGCATGTCCTCTTTAGTCTTCTGAGGGCGCCGCCCCCCCACAGTGCAACAATTCCTTGAGCGGGCCGACCTCTCCCGAGGGCTTCCGACAGGCCCCAGGAATTGAAGTCTCGCGCGACACGGAGCCGACAGGCACCAAGATCTCAGGTTTCGCGCGACGCGGGTCCGACGGGTCTCAGAACCTACGGCAGCGTGTCGCCACCGCGGCCCCGATGGCGTGTCGCTCCGCCCCGCGAGGCGGGAGGCTCGGACCGACCGCACCGCACGTCCCTCGGCCGGTGGGGGGAAGGCAATTGCGACGACCAGGAGGGTGGGAGGGGGACGCCGAAATACGAAGACGAGGAAGAGAAGGAGGAGGCGGAGGAGGAGGAGGAGGACGACGAGGAGGAGGAGGAGGAGGAGCAGGAGGCGCTGAGCAGCGGACGAGGCTGTCCGCGACGCGAGGAGGCGACCTGCCTGCTGCCCCCCATTGCCAGTGTACTCAGACTGCCTCCTCCTCCTCGTCCTCTTCCCTCCTCGTTCACCCTCCTCCTCTTCGTCATCCTCCTGCTCCTCCTCTTCCTCCTCCTCCTCCTCCTCACCTCCCTCCTCCTTCCCGCTTGGTGCCAACACGATTGCAGGACTCAAAGTCGGTAAGACTGCGATCGTCAACAACTCGGTTTAACACCGTCTCGCAGCCGTGGTGTCCGACGGGGGAAGAGAAACATGCAGACGGTCACCAACAACGCTCCTGCTTGGGGACGCCCCAGCTACACACGGAACGGAGGCAACGGATTAGCCGAAGGCCTGTGTCCAAGCGACGGTGTCCACGGGCAGGCAACAGGGATCCCTCACGCTGTCCGGCACAGGAAGGAAGAGCAAGGCAGAGGAACACGTAGAAGTTCATCCAATCTCGCTGCACAAACCCCCCCGTGATGAAGTCCGCAATGCGGGTCTCGGAAGAGCAGGCGAAGAGACCCCTGGAGAGCCTCGGCAACCTTTTCCAAACCGACGGTGCAATATTCACATACATTTCGTTAACTTCTCACCGTGCTCATTTCTATTTGTGCTCGTTTCTAATTGTCCCTGGCCCCCCAAGGGCCAGGAAGGAGGCCCAGGATGGAACAATGAGAAATGAAAGGACCTTGGCCCAACCAAACAATCAAAGAACTTTCGAATAATTAGAAAGGAACCATGTGTAACCGTGAAGACAACGATCTCAGCCCTTCCAGCGAAGCTGTCGGCACACTGGCCGCGCCGCAGGTCACCGAGCCCACACGAGACCTCCAGGTAAGGAGCACACCGGCGATGCAAGACGAGGTCGTCTCACGAAAAGGGGCTGTGGAAACTTGGAACCGGCGGTAAACCGTCAACCAGGTTACCGCCGGGAACCTCGTAGAGCTCTTTTCTTGCACGGCGATCGTCGGAACACATGAAGAAAGCTTCTGGAGCGAGAAACAAAAAACTCGAAAAAACACGTTTTTCTGTTTGTATCCAACGTCGGTTCCTCCAAGTGGGGCTGTGGAAATGAGATGCGGGCCGCTGGCAAGCCACACCTCGAGCGAGCGAGCGAGCGAGCGAGCGCCCACTTGGGCCTCACTGGTCGTGGGGCCGCGCCCGTCTGGCCGTCACGAGTCGGGCCGCAGCCCCTGTAGTGAAGATGTGAGACCACACGCGCGCGCACTCGGGTCGCCTTCCTCCTCCCCCTCCTCCTCCTCCTCCTCCTCCTCCTCCTCCTCCTCCTCCTCCTCTGGGCAGGGCGTGCCGCCTCGGCCTTCCCCCGCTGGGCCTTGCCCGGGTCTCCATACTGTGCCATGTCGAATGCCGCTTCGCAGTGTTGGCCCATCCCGAGGTCACCATGAAGGTCGAGCCGCCCAGCGTCGGAGCGGGCCCGCTGTAAGGCGGACCAGAGGGTCCCGAGGGGCTCACCCCGAAGACGCCCGCCAGTGCCTCGAGACGGCCCACGACGCCTCCAAGACGTCCCAAGAGGGCCCGAAATTTACCCTCCGAGAGAGCCCCACTGGGCAGAGCGTTCCAAGATGCCCCCGTTCTCGCCTGCTCCGCTTCCCAACTCTCCAAGACTGTCCAAGAAGATGCCCATGTCGTTCCAAGACGGGCCAAGGAGCGCCCAAGGACACAACACACCCACAAGAGGGCGCCAAGGGTACGAAGTGCCAAGCAGCACGAACACCGAGCCGACGAAGCTCTGTCTGGACAAGCACCTGCAGGAAACACAGGCTGGTAAAGGCGCGACCTGCCACGATTCTTCGTGGCCGTCGGCGAAAACGAGCACGAGGAGAGCCGGGCGGGGCAATAAGCTGTGTTGTTGAACTCTCACTTCTGGAAAATAATTATTGTTGATCTCCCCCACCGGTGCATACTCTTGTTTCTCAATCGATGTGTGCCCCTCGACGCTCGCACCCTGTTATTCTATCAAGGCAAGTCTTGAAGCTCAAACTGTGCCCCTGGCCCTCGGGTTACAACAAGAACGGCTCCAGCCTGAGACTTCCTCACAATTTAGCCAGGACCCCCGCTCCCGCCCGAGACTTCCTCGCATTTAATTCAGGAATCGCGCTCTCGCTTGGAACTTCCTTACAATTTATAAGGGAATCGCTCTCGCGGCGCTCTGGAGTCGCGCTTTCGCTGGAGACTTGTTTGCACTTTACTGAAAATAGCGCCCTGGCGTTGGAATTTCCTGCGATTTGCTTAAGCGCCGCGCTCCCGACACCCAGGCACCCAGGAGTCGCGCTCACGCTTAGGACTCCCTCACAAAATACCTAGGAATCGGGATCTCGCTGCCCTTCGTGGCCCCGTGGCAGCCCTTCGTGGCCCCCTCGCTTTGTTTCGTGGCCCCATTTCAGCCTTTCGTGGCCCCCTCGCTGCCCTTCGTGGCCCCGTTGCAGCCCCTCGTGGCCTCCTCGCTGCCTTTCGTGGCCCCGTTGCAGCCCTTCGTGGTCCCCTCGCTTTGTTTCGTGGCTCCGTTGCAGCCCTTCGTGGCCCCCTCGCTGCCCTTCGTGGCCCCCTCGCTTTGTTTCGTGGCCCTGTTGCAGCCTTTCGTGGCCCCCTCGCTGCCCTTCGTGGCCCCATATGTGTGCCCCTCGTGGCCCCCGCTCGTTCGCGCCCATGGTGGCCCCATATGCATGCCCTTCGTGGCCCCGGTGTCGCCCTTCGTGGCCCCCTCACTGCCCTTCGTGGCCCCGTTGCTGCCCTCAGTGGCCCCGTCCTTGCCCTCCGCGGCCCAGTTTTCGTATGCCCTTCGTGGCCCCCGCTCGTTCGCGCCCGTTGTGGCCCCATGTGCATGCCCTTCGTGGCCCCGCTGTCGCCGTTTGTGGCCCCCTCATTGTCCTACGTGGCCCAGTTGCTACCCTGAGTGGCCCCATCGTTGCCTTCTGTGGCCCCGCATGATCTGCCCTTCGTGGCCCCCGCTCGTTCGCGCTCTTCGTAGCCCCATACGCATTCCCATCGTGTCCCCGCTGTCTCCCTTCGTGGCCTACTTTGTGTCCTTGTGGCCCTGCTGTCGTTCTCTCTCGCTCTCGCTTTCGCCCGTCGTCGCCGTCGTCGTCGTCGTCGTCGTCGTGGTCGGTTCCCTGTCCGTCACTCTTGGGGTCGGGTCGACGGTCCGCGGCCGCCCCGCCGATCAGCGCTGCCGCTGGCCAGGCCGACGGTCCGCGGCCGCCCCGCCGCTTGCCGGGGCCTGGCCTGCATGGAAGAAAGATGTACCCTCCAAAAGGGGTTCGATCGAAGACGAAGAGGGCGGGTATTGAGGATTTGGGAAATACGCGTTATTGGACACTCGAGCAGATAAGGGCGAACAGTCTTAACATGAGTGGTGTTGTTGTTGCCGTTCGTGTTGTTATTGTTGGTGTTGTCGTTGTCGTTGTTGTTGTTGTTGTTGTTGTTGTTGATGTTGTTGGTGGTGGTGTTGTTATTGTTGCTGTTGTTGTTTCATTTGGTATGCAGCAGGGGGCCAATCCTGCTCCGCCTCCTCGCCCTATGAGGGGAGAACAGCGCACGCTCAAACCTGTAAGGAGGAGAACTGGGAAAGGGCAAGACAACGAAGTCGTTATACGTATGGGCGCGGGCTGTCGGACGCCCAGGGGAGCTCTCCTTCGAGCGGGATCTCGTACCCGACAGCGCACACCCATAGACCCCACGGAATTCCACCCCAAGGGGTCTGGGGTTCGGATCTGTATGGGTGCTAGTTGTCAGCTCCCGGTTATTCCCGTCCACATCCTCCTGCTCCACCCCCGCGCCTGGCAGGAAGAAGGGGAGGGAGAAGGCGAGAAGAACGCGGACGTAGATGACAACGACGGCGGCAGCTGCGACATCGACGACGAAGGCGGTGACATCCAAAGCGCCGTCCTGGCAACGGTACCACGCCAGAAAGCACGGAACACTGGCCAGAACGCCGTCCACCTTTGGAGGCAGTCGGTAGCGGCCTCGTCGACGTCGTCGTCGTCGGCCTTACCTCCCATGGAGAAAGTGGAGGGGGAGGCTGGCAAGGCCGTGAGGGTGAGAGTGGGGAGGAGGACGAGGATCACAAGCGAGGTAAGAAAAAAACGAGGCAGGAAGAAAAGGAGGAGGAACGGGCGTCGGCATCAACGTCGTCGCCACGGGAGGAAAAACGAAGAAAAGGGGGGGAATGAGTGGCAATATGGGTATGGACGGGATCCTGCGCCTCCGCTCTGCCGTCGTCCTCCGCATACAAAACCTGCCCGTGGCACCGCCAGACATGTCGGTTGGGTGGGCCGAGGGCCAGGGGGTCTCGCCTGGAACGTGCACACCTCGTCTGGCGTTGGGAGCTGACGTTCCAAGCGGTTGCAACGACGGGGGACTGGAGGTGAAAAAATGCGGCTCTATCTGAGGGCCGCGGACGTTCGTCGTACAAGCTTGCAGAGGCTTCACGGATAGAGGGCAGGTCGTTTGCAATCGAGGGTCATGCACTTCCCGCGTTCCCACGCGCTGCTGCCTCCAAAGCAACGAGCCCTCGTTGAAGGCGATGGAAATGAGCCGCGAGCTTACAAGACGGCCCGCGCAGGCAACCAAGAACACCAAGATGGCCCACGATGCCTCGAAGACTGCCCAAGATGGCCCCAAGGCGGCCAAACATTGATTCGAGACGGCCCCTCCAAGGGGGCCCAAAATGGCCACAATAGGAACTCCAAGAGGGTCAGAAGAAGCCAACATCATTGACTTTCTCTTGGGTGTTGAACAGATGTTCGCATTCTTGCCTCTTCGGGCTGCCGTCAGATCAAGAAGGCATCCAGTACGGCCCAAAGGCGGCCCGACGACCCCCAGACACCCACCCTACGGCCAAGCGGGCCCCAGGACGTCCAAAGGGAGCCCCAAACCGGCGTACGAGGGTTCCAAGATGGCCCAAGGGAGCCCCAAGGGACCCCCAAGAATGCCTTACAGGAGGCGCAGACGGCCCCAAGACGGCCCAACCGAGTTTCAGCATCATCATCAGCAGCATCATCATCATCAGCATCATCATCAGCATCAGCATCGTAGTCATCATCGTAGTCATCATCGTAGTCATCATCAGCATCATCATCATCGTCGTCGTCATCATCATCGTCATCATCATCATCACCATCATCATCAGCTTCATTATTATCCGCACCAGCGTCATCATCATGTTGGACATATCTAGCAGCAGCATCGACATTAACATAATAACCATCATAGACCTCGTCATCACCATCGCCATCAGCATTACCATCCGCATCATCATCATCATCATCATCATCATCAGCATCAGCATCAGCATCAGCATCATCATCGTCGTCATCACCATCACCATCGTCATAATCAGCATCGACACCATCATCATTAACACCACCATCACCAACATCCCCATCATCCGCATCCTAATCATCATTCCCATCATCTTCATCATCATCAGCAGCATAGCCATCGCCGTCATCCGCATCATCATTAGCACCATCACCATCGACATCATAATCGACAGCATAATCATCAGCACCATAATCATTACCAACAACAGCAACACCATTCACGCCATGATCGGCATCATCATCATCAGCATCACAATCATCATAATCACTGCCATTAGTCATCACCACCAACAACATCAACATCATGATGATCGTCGTCATCACCCCCATCCGCCTTAGACTCATCCTCATACCCACCGCCGCATTCCCAAGACCGGACGCACACGATGTATCACGCGTGACGGCCTCCCGTGCACCATCGGGCAATCGCCTCCCACAATGTCGGCTGTCACGGTGGATGGACGTGCCGCAGGCAGCCGGGTAGAGGGCGACGCGTTCTCCACACGGGGCTCTCGACTGCATGGCAGGCATGCAGGGCGTTCGTCTTCGCGGTGCGCTTCCCACAATGAGAACGGACGCCTGTAGGGGCTCATGAAAAAAGGCACGTGGGACGGTCAGGTAAATTGTTGAATCGTTGATGCATCCAGGGTTTACTCTTGTCCTCCTCCTCCTCAACATGCTTCTCTGGTCCCCCCTTCTCTTGTCCTCCTCTCCCCTCCTCGTCGTTAGTACTGCCCTCCTCGCCCTCCTCCTCCACACCTGCCTCCCACCCCACTCCTGCGTCGCCCCCGCCCACGTCTTCCGCCCCCCACCAAGCCACCTCGGAGGAGAGAGGTATGAGGGGGAGTACAGGGAGGTGAAGGACATGGCTGGAGATGAATGAAAGGGCCCATGGACACACAGACACACACGGACACAATTCCCCATTATATCCCATACATTATGGGTGTTCGTCGTTCCCTCCACTTCCCATGTTTCCCCATGGAATCGACGTTTACGTGTGCCTGTGTTGCTCTCCCCTCCTGAATGAAGATGGTGGGGAGGCCGGAACAGCATGGGCACATCCTTGCCTGGCTTCCGCTCTCAGATCGTCCTGCTCCTCCTCCTTGTCCCCCTTGCCTGCCTGCCGCCGCTCCCCCCCCCTCCTCCCTCCTCATCTTCCTTCCTCCCTGACCTCCTCCCTCCTTCTCCTCCTCCCTCCTCCTTCTTCCCTCCTCCGTCCTCCTCTTTCTCCCGCTTCCCTCCATTCCACCCTCGTCCTCCTTCGTCTCCTCACCCCCCCTGCGAAACCGCCTACCTCGCCCGACTTCTCCGTCATCCTCTTCCTCATCACCCCGCCTCGCGAACCCACCCCAGCATACCGCGAAAGAGGATGATAATGAGGAAGGGGGGGCGAGGGACGAGGAGGGGGATGGGAGAAGAGCAAAGATAATCATGATGGTGAGGAGAATAAGACAACGACGGTAATGAAGAGTGGGAGGAGGAGGAGGAGACGAGGAAAGGGCCTCGTCTTCACCGTCCTCCTCATTTCGCCTCGCGTCCCCCCCACCCTCCTTGGAGTAGGGAGGCGAAGAGAGAAGGGGAGGACGGACGAAGGATGGCGCGGCCACTTCAAGCGTGGAATGTTCTGTTGAACAACGCACGAAGCGGACACATTCGCTGAGATAGCCGTGGCTCTCGCTTTGAAAACCGAGCCATCCTGTGACGAATTTCCAAAAAGCCTGTCGACAAGCTCCGTTCTATAGTCAAACTTGCTTGCTCCGCCCGTTCGGTGGTAGTGGTAGACGTCGAGGCGGCAGGAGATGGAGAGGAAGACGAGGCGAGCGGAGACCGGGGAGGTGGATGACATAGTGGTAGACGTAGAAGGCGAGGCGAGGGGAGAACCATGAGGTGGATAAGGCGGAGGAGGACGCGGAGCACGCGGCCTCGTCGTCGTCCTCCTCCTTGCATTCCTCCCTCATTGCCTCCTCGTCCTTGGCGTCGTCCGACTCGCAGCGTCGTCGCCGGCCTCTTCTAGCTCCTCGCGTCGACCTCCTCCTCGTTGTCCTCCGGAGGCCCACGAGGGGGTCCAACATATCCAACAACATTTCGTATCCGACACTGCTGCAGCCGCCGCCAAGCTGCCGCCTTCATCATCGCCGCCACCGTTGTCGTCGTAACCACCGTCCCCGACGCCGTCGCCGTTATCGCCGCCCGTCGTCGCCATCGTCGCCATCCCCGTCGCCGTCGCCGCCGCCGCCGCCGCCGCCGCCGCCGTCGTCGTCGTCGTCGTCGTCGTCGTCGTCGTCGTCGTCGTCGTCGTCGTCTTCGTCGTCGTCGTCGTCGTCGTCGTCGCGGCCGCCGTCGTCGTCGTCGTCGTCGTCGTCACCGTCGTCCGCCTCGCGGTCCAACTGCACGCGGCGCACGTCACACTCGGCCTCCGCGCCGCAGCCGACAGTGACCAGCGCCCGCGCGGCGGAGGAGCCCGTCGGGGCGCCGGTGGTGAAGGTGTACTCCTGCGGCCGGGCGGCGCTCGGAGGCCCTCGGCGGCGCTCGGGGGCAGCTGGAGGCCGTCGGATGCGCTCAGAGACCGTCGGAGGCCCTCGGCGGCCAGAGGCGGCCCTCGGAGGCCGTCGAAGCTGTCGGAAGCCCTCTGCGGCCCTCGCAGGCCCTCGGCGGCCCTTGGAGGATCTCGGCGACCCTCGGAGGACCTCGGAGGTTTCGGTCCGCAGGAGGAGATGGAGGACGGGGAGGGGGAGGAGGAGGGAGCAGGAGCAGGAGGAGGAGAAGAAGGTGGTGGAGGAGGTCGAGGAGGAGAAAGAGAAGGAGGTGGTGGAGGAGGTCGAGGAGGAGATCGAGGGGGAGGAGGAGGAGGAGGAGGAGGAGGAGGAGGAGGAGGAGGAGGAGGAGGAGGAGGAGAGTATGGGGGGAACTGAGGCGGGTGAGAATTTTACTCGGACGTGGAGGGGATGGTGAGGAGGAGATGGAGGAGGAGACGGACGAACCCAGTAATTCGTGGGAGCCAAAGATCCGCAGCTCGAAGCTCGAAGGAGGAGACTGCGGAGGAGGACGATGCGGAGGAGGGAGAGGAGGATGCGGAGGAATGGGGGGGATGTAGGGGCTAGCGTGGCGTCCCGCGGGCGCACAGCTGGTCGTGGGGAGGCCTGCGGGAGTTGCCGCAGTCCCCCACAGTCGATCGCCTACCATGCCGCAATGCCCGATTGCTCCAGTCTGAGGCGCCGCTGCGCGAGAAGGCGCGCTTCCGCCAACGCGAGGTTGGAGCACCGGCAGCCTAGCTTCCCTCGACCTCCTCCCCTCCTCATGTTCCTTCCTCCTCGTCACCGTTGCCCTCGCCCGCCTTCTCCCCTCCTCTCCGCTTGTCCTCGGCCTCTTCGTCATCCTCCTTCCGCCTCTTGTCCTTCCCTCGTGTCGTCCCCGCTCAATCCTCTTCCTCCTCACCTGTCATCTTCCTCTCTCTCATTCTTCTATCCCCACTCCCTCCTCCTCCTCCTCCTCCTCCTCCTCATCTTGGGGGGTGGGCCTCCTTCCTCAGAGGAGCAAGAAGGACAATGCGCACGTGGAAGGCGGACAAGGAGGGGTGGAGGCGGTGCGCCTCCTCCCGTCCCCACTCTCCGCCCCCCCTCTCCCCCCGTCCTCCTCGTCCCCCCCCCCCTCCTTCGTTTCCCCCCCCGTCGGAGGAGTAGGGTGGAGAAGGAGCAGGAGGAGGGGGATCGCGAGGGAACTGGGAAGAGAACCAATGAGCGCGAAAGGGAGAGGGAGAGAGAGAGAGAGACAACGGGAGAGAGAACATAAACGATACTAAGGAACGGAAGTGGCAAACAACGAGGGATCAGAGACAACAGGCGAGGAGGATGCACAGGACTCCCAAGGATCCCAAGGAATCCCTACTTCAATGCGGTGCGACATTGCTATGCTTGGTCTGTTCTGAAAGGCTGCGTGGGGGCAAACACCAAGAGCTTTGACTTCTGTACTTGGGCCGACAGAGACCAACTTGCGAGATACTGATTCTCAATCGGTTCTTACTTGCACTGCCAGACGCGACCATATCCAACCCGGCCATCGTCGAATGTTCTATCGGTCATTGTATAGCGTGATTCCTGTCCTCAATCGTTTACCTGACGTGATGGTGCGTGTCAGGTCTAGGGTCGGATTCGAGCGTTCGCTCCAAGATGTGGCCAAGGATGCTGCCCTCTCTGGCAGCCATGAATGGCGCTGATTGCTCTGCCCAGGATGAAACCGCCGGTAGAGTTCGTTAACCGTAGGAGTTTTGAATAATTGGGGGTCTCCCGTGGACACCAAACAAAAAGGCTTCCCGCACACAGATATCATACGATCATGGACCATTGCGACAGCTCAAACGATAGGAAACATAGAGATGGTATAGCCCAAACTTGTCCTGTCTCCACATACTTGCTCACAATTGTCCAATCCGTTCTTTTCCGCGACGCACTGTTTGATCTTGAACGTGCGGAGAAATAAAAACACATCGTCGCCAGAACCCTCATCTAGGCCGGCGACACTCTGCTCGTGCCAAACCAAACTAGAAACTTACAACGCATGTTGTGGACTGAAGGGCTTTTCATACGGCACGGAAGCACATTGAGACGAGACCCTACACATGCAAATTGGTTCCCAGAGCACACGTAAATAACCGACTCGGGATCTCATCAAAAGCGTGAGAGCAATAGTCTACTTAGGAGGGCTGTTGTCTTCTGACGGCTTGGCAAACAGCAAACTCTTACGACGTATCGGCGAGAACGCGTATATGATCAATCAACTTTCAAACTGTTGGTATCGTACCTCCATTGGTCAGCAAACTGTTATGGTCACTGTACTCATTATGGCCGTTGAAATTTATCGACTCGAAGCATTTCACTGCAAACGATTGTATAGTAATCTTCAGTGTTCCGCAGTCGCCGGTATCTAGGATTTCCGATGCGACTGCTCTGGCAAAGGCTGAATCGTTGAATTCGTCGCAAATCACAATTGTTCAGGACTGTCGCGAACCAACCACTTGACAATGGAACGCAACATCTTGTGCGCAACCCCGGTGGCACCCCGAAAACTTGGGCACATCACGGCGGCAGAGGGCGTCCGCGACAGCAGTGGGCGACACTCGCGTTTGACCAAGAGCAGATGAGTTTGTGACCTAGTATGCCCTGCTGCCTTGCCTCCATCTCTTCCCGTCCTCGTTGCTAGAATGCTAGTGGTATGCTGTGTCCTCTGCTTCACAGTCGGGCGCTTGATGTTCTGCTTCACTCGTGATCGGCTCCTCTTCCGCTGCGCTTAACGCAACCTGCAGGGTTTCAGGTGTTCACGGCCTCCGAGAGCCACCGACGACCTCCGAGGGCATCCGATGGCCTCCGACGACACCCCGAGGACCGCCTTCTGGCAGCCGAGGGCCGCCGAGGGCAGCCGAAGGTCTCGAACGGCCTCCGAGGACCTCGATCGGGCCTCCGGGGGCCCTCCCAGGGTCTCGGCCGGCCTCCGAGGGCCTCCGTCGACCCTCCGAGGGCTGTCGACGTCTAGGGGCATCCGAGGGCCTCCGACGGCCCTCCGAGGGCCTCGCGCAGCGCGCACTCGGTCCTTGTCGCCCGCGCTGTCGTCGCTGGGCCAGCCGAGCCACATGGCGTCGGCGTGCGCCCCGACGACGCTGCCTGCCGGGCAGCGGCCTCGTCGTCGTCGTCGTCGTCGTCGTCGGCCATCGTCCATCGATGCCCGCCGCCAGTCGTCGCTGACGCCGTCGCTGTTGTCGCCGTCGCCGTCGCCATCGCTGTCGTCGCCGCGATCGGCCTTCTCTGCCTCCCCCTGCTCCTTGGCAGTGGAGGGAGGGGCTACGGGGGCGGAGGAGGCAAGGGAGGAGAAGAATGAGGATGGGAGAACATGGAAACGGGGAGGGGGGAAGGAAAAGGGGGGGGTGGGGACAGATGGGGATGATGATGATGATGATGATGATGATGCTGCTGCTGCTGCTGATGATGATGAGGAGGAGGAGGAGGAGGAGGAGGAGGAGGAGGAGGAAGCGGTGGGGCATGGCTGGCCGGGGAGGGACGGAAAGGTCAAGGAGGAGCAGGGCACGGGAGGAAAACGAGAAGGAGGAGGACGTGGACGAGGGCAAGACGAAGAGGGAAGAGGGAGGCGAAGAGGACGAGGATGAGGAAGAAGAGGAGTGGACGAGACGGCGACAGACGGGAGGTAGACGATGCACCAGCGCATGTGCGTCACGAAGCCACCCATCCCCCAAGCGCCTCGGATCGTCCAAGGTGGTATCTCCACCGTGTACTGCGTGTTCCGCATGAGAGGATGTTCCGGCCTGGTCATCGAAGGGGGGAGGAAGGAGGGAAATGAGAGGTAGCGCATTGCAGGGTGCCCCGAAAGGAAAAAAGGAGAGGAGATCCGGCGAGCGAGATGGCCAGCCTGATCTGCAGAGTCTCGCCGTTCACTTGCACATTCACCTCGTCGCCAATCTCGTACTCCTGCCGCTTGGGGGGAGAGGGAAACAGGGATGTGGGAAGGGAGGAGGGCTGGAGGTAAGGAGACAGGGGGGATTGAGGTCGGTGGACTCAGTCCACCGACCTGCCTGGTCGGTCGGCAATGATTGGGTCTCGCCGCGGGGGCCACCCGAGCACGCAAAACATCAAACCGATGGGCTTGCTCCGAAAGGGATTTTGTGGAAGCGGTCAAAACGTCAGTCGCCAAGAATCCGTTAAAGAAACAAGAACATGACGGTGGATTGCGACGAGAGGTAATACAACGAGGAGGAGGATGACGAAGAGGAGGAGGAGGAATAATAATATCAATATAATCAAGTCCCACTCTCCGTTTTCCCTCTCCTTGCCCGTGCCCCCATCACCTGCCCTCCCGCTCTCGTTCCCTGTCCCTGCCTCGTCCATTGCAAGCCAAAGTCTCACTTGGCCCCTTCCGCCAAGCACGAACATGTCCAACACTTGCTCCTGTACTGTGCAACCTCTCGTTCCACCTGTGATCAGTCTCCTCGAGCCAGCCCCCTAACCTTCGTCCCGTGCCGATTGTTCCTGCTCTTTGCTTCGCCAGCCACATTGTTCCTGTTTTTGTTTCCTTTTTTCCTTCCTCCTCCTCATCTTCCTCCTCCTCTTGTCGTTCTCTGGGCTCGTGCCACTTGGGCCCCAACATTTTGCCTGGGCCAAAACGTCCGCCTCGGACGTGGTGCTTGAAAGGGGGCCAAAGCCATCCGTCTGTCTGTACATCCATTTGCGCACTTTGTACTTACATGATTGTGTATCCCTGGTTGGCTAGAGGGACGCGTTATTCACAATCATGGCCACGGGTGACAGTTCGACAGCCAGACGGAAGTCGGCACGGCCGCAGCCGCTTTATCAACCGCCCCTTGGACAATGCTGCCGTCGCGGCCGCTGTAAGAGGGATCGGGTGTTAGAGAGTCTGAGACAGCCGTGCGCAATGGCTGCAACAAGAAATGTCGTTTTGCACAAGCCGCCCGCCGCCGCGCAGCCAGGCATGGGCAGCGACAAACCCGTTGGAGCCCTTCCCCAGGGCGGCTCCACGACGCCAGTCGCCACGCTCGAGGCTGCACTGAAGGGGACCAGGGCCTGGCAGCGAAGCTCCTGCCGAAGCAGCAGGCGGCGTTCGCGGAGCAAACGGCCGCGGCAGCCCACCCGTCGCTCACGGCGGAGAAGGCGGCGCGGCGAACCCCGGGAACTGGCGCGACGCGTCCGCCAGGCGCAGCCCGGCCACGGAGAGCCGCTGCGAGGACAACCTGCGGCGCGCCGAGACGACAGAGGAGGGCGGCGGCGAAGGCGCTCGCCGTCGCCGTGCTCAACAGGCACTCGGCTGCTGCTGCACCAGGCCAGGGAGGCAGGGCTCGCGGCCCAGCCGCCCGAGGGCGGCACCAGGCTGGCGACGGAGGCGCAGGACGGCGCCGCGATTATCGACCCCGCCTGGGGCGCCGAGTTTTTCCGGACAGGTCGACGACGCTGACTGCGGCGCGGAGGAAGAGGCTGAGCTCGAAGAGATCAAGCAGAGGCTCCGCGCCAAGGACAGCGCCGCGGCCAAGGCGACGCAAGCCAGCGAGTTGAAGGCGCACATGATCGAGCCGAGCAAGAAGCTCAGCGAGCGCATCGCCAAGAAGCGCGGGGTGGGCCCCGAGAAAGCCGAAGGCGAAAACAGAAGCGCCCGAAGGGCGGTGAGAGGCCAGCGCCCGGCGCGCCCTGACAGGAGCAGATGACGGCGAAGATGGCGCGCGTCCATGGCGCTACAGCCGCGGGCTCGGATGCGGGGTCTGGGCACCGAGACTGCTGGCGAGGAGCTCTGAGGGGCGGCGGCGGCGGCGGCGGCCTCAAGAGAAGCGACGCCTTCGACCACCTGGCCGCCTGCGTTGCCACCGACGGCCTCAACTGCTGCGCCCGCGGGCCGCTTCCGCGGACGCGGATGCGCCCGACCGCGTGAATTGTCCAGGCGCATCGCCAGTCTCGGACCGAAGGCTCGGGGCAACTTGACCTGCCCCTCCGCGCCCGGGCGAAGTGGGCCAAAAAGGCGAGAGCAACAAACGCGCGCTTCATCGACAGTCCAGCTCGGCGGAGAGGGGGCCTGACTCCAGAGGCTTCTGAAGGGGCGGAGGGGGGGGGGGCAAAGAGGGCGTGGAGCTCCTAGCGGGCGGGGGCCGTCACGCAGGCAGACTCCCCAAAAGGTCGCCAGCAATGCCTAGCCACTGTTCCGGAGGATCTGAGTTCCTCGACTGCGCCCCTGCTAATGGCTGTTAAATTGGCGGGCTAATCGGTCGTCGTTGCGCTGTTCTGCGCCCATCTCTCGGCCAGCTCTCCCACAGAAAAATGGGCCAAGCTCGGGGCGCTCCCCAGGGCAATTCAGCTTCCATGGTGAGAGGCCGGCGACGTCACTATCGATGAGCAAGTCTTTAGGCGTTCAGCGTTTCTCGAGAAGTGAAAAGGTTCCACCCGTCGGGCGGATATTGAGTTTACTTGCGCGCGGGCTTCAGAGCGTGGGCCTTGAATTTGTGCGCGTCTAGAATTGCTCGGGCCTCTGAGTGCTCATGGTCGCGCGTTGCGTCTGTCCGCGCGATCTCAGATGCCCCGCGGGGCCCGCGATGCGCCCTAGGAATTGAATTTCGCGGAGCTGATCTGCAACTGCCCGCGCGCGCCTCCAAGATTGCCGCATCGGCGCCCTCGGGCCCCGAGGCCCCGGGGGCGCCCCTAGACGGGGCCCGCATCTAGCGGGGCGAAGCTTGCTCAGCAGGCGCGCGCAGAAGAAGAATCGCGCGCGCTTCCGGGCGGCGCGCGAAGATGTTTTCCGGTGGTACTCCCATCGCCGAGCCCCGAGACTCTGGCGAGCCAACAAGTAAGTTCCCCTTATAAATGGGGGCCCAGCTGCGAGGCCCCAAATCCCCTGACCTGGGATAAAAACCTGGCCGGCGAATCCTGTTTTCAGCCATCAAGAAACATTGCTGGCGGCCCCGCGGGCGCCCCGTCGAAAGGCAACGCCGGTGCTCAGAGCCGAGTGGGGACCTCTTCTTGTGCAGGAAGCGCGGGCGAGGTCGAAGGTGGAGGCGCGGCACCTGCCCGCGGCCCCGGGGCATCGGGCATCTCATGGCTGCACTTCCTAGCAAGCTTCCTCGCCGCGCTGAGCGGGGCCAAACGGCGAAAGGTAAACTGTGCTAGCTTCCGCGCGCGGGCGCCCCTCAGCGCGATTCCACGGGGCCCCGCGCGGCGCGCGTGCAGCTGGCCACCATGGGCGCCCCGATAGCAAGTCCAATGGAGCCGCCAGAGAAGCATCAAAACGGGCATATCAGAATCTGCAGACGAGGTCACTCGCAACCCACCAAGGAAACCCAGCGTGACAACCCCCAGATGCGAACGAAGCCCCGCGCGGAGGAACGCAGGTGCTCGGCCGCGGCTCAACGGGCGCCCAAACCGACCAGCTGGGCGCCAATGAAAATGCCGCCCTGATGGCCGCCAGGACAGGCGCGCGTTCGGGCGCCCCCCGCGCGCGCCGCGCGCGACTTGGAAGACGCGCCCAAGCACGAAAGCGTGACCCCAACGCTGAGCGCATGCGCTGCGAGGGCGTGCCAAAGCAAGAACGGATGCACTTCCTGATGGACATGTAATCGCCACGGTCAAGAGAGCGGCCCGCGAGGCGCAACCAGTTTCTGCGGCCCCCGCAAGGCCAGCTCTCACGACACCGCCTGGGAACCTTCCCACTGGAGACTCGGAACCGTTCCGGGAAGTCGTCGAACGGCAGCCGCCGCGGCGCCCTTGCGAAGCGGCTGCGAGGCGACAAGCAGCCGGGCCACGACGTGGCCCATCTTGAGAGGCAGCCATTCGCGCGCAGGGAGGAGTTGGCACGGAGCGAGGATGACATAGTCGATTTTCGCGTCTTCCAGCCAAGCGGCCATTGGACGCGCGCACCCACTGGGAGGGCCAACGACCAGGCTCTGGGCAATGCTCGCGGGGCAATGCGTTTGCCGAGCGCACCGTGGACGGTGCCAGTCAGCTGGCTAAGGAGTTGCCGCAGGGGCAAGTATTGCCCCTGCACTTGCTTCCAACACACGCCAGCTCACATCGCCGCCAATGAGGAGAGCGCAAACTGTCTGGACTACATGATAGGCTTCGACATTGCGTCAGCCACGCTCGTGGATGGCATGTGGCTGAGGGGCTCCAGGCCACCTACCCACGGATGGGGGGAAGCCTCCATCCATCGCGCGTCAGCGTAGCCCCGCAGCAATTGCGCATGTTCGGCGCATTCGTCGTGCGCGAACTTGTCGCTGCTCGCCCGATGCCGCTGCGCTGATCGCGCGCTGATTGAGCGCTGATCGAGCACTAATCGCGCGCAGATCGCGCAATATTTGCACACTCGTGCAGCACTAATCGAGCTCTGATCGCGCAATGAGCGCGCGCTCGTTGCACGCTCGTTCATCGCGCTTTCATCGAGCGCGAATCGCGAGATCGCCGACGAATCGCAAGCCAGGTGGGGGCTGGTGGTCGCGCTGAAAGGATGCGACATGACGCGTTAATTTGTGCTGATTCCCAAGGAATGTTACGCGCTCTTTTCACGGGGCTCCCAGGCAAATTCATATTCCTTTTGGAAGTAATGCCAGGCGTGACGCGCTGCCGAAATTCGCACTGGGCCCCCTCTCACCATAGCGCCAACTCAATGCGTCGCTCAGCGGGGCCCGCGCCACGTCTCAGGGCCGCGAAATGCCTGGGTGAGTCCAGCAAGGCATGCCCGCCGGAGCATCGGGGCGCCGGAAGCCTCCGGGCGGTCTCTGGGGCGCCCCCAAGGAGCTTCGGGGGGGCCCAGAAAAGGCCGCCGGATAAGGCGAATCTACTCTACTCGGCTTTAATCGACCCTCCTCGCTGTAACGCGCGCTGCCCCATGTCGCCCAGCGCTGCTCGTCCATCTACCCCGCCGTGCCCCAGCTGGATATTGCGCCCTCCACTGCAGCCGACATGTGTGCTCGGTTTGAGCC